GCCTGTGTGTCTGTTACCCGCGTGGTTTACTGTGTGACAGTGCAGCTTCGTGGAAAAGGGCGGAGTTGCGCACAGGGAGTCATGTCGCGGCGGCAGCGTGTGCCGCGCCACAAGGGGAACCGACGGAAACGCAACAAGAACCCAAAACTGTCGCCGTTTCAGCGCGAGCAACAACGCGCAAAGCTCGCCAACCAGGCGCCCATTGCGTCCATCAAGGGCAACCAGCGTGACTACCCTGTCAGCCAGAGGGCGGTGATGGAGTACCTCATCGCCAGGCGCCAGCGGGAGCAGGAGAAGCGGCAGCGGCGTGAGGAAGCCGCAGCGGCAGCAGCAGCAGCAGCAACACCGACAGTGGGGAATGTCGAGGGCGAGAATGGGCATGTGGAGGCCGCAGATGCTGCCATCTCCGCTACGTCGTCCGCCGCATTGCCGCGGGCCAAAGCGAAGAGCATTGCAAGTCGTGTTAATAAGGATAAGAAGGAGGGGGAGAAGAAGCAGAAGAAGCGTCTGCTGCAGGCGAAGAAGACTTCGCTGGCGACCCCAGTCGCACTCAACGAAGAGTTCGCCGCCTCGCTGTCGCGTCCCATCCTGGCTTTCCACACACGCACTGAAGACGAGGACGGGGTCCCACAAGACACTGTTGAGGCCACCATCGCGCGGAAGAAAGAAAAGAAGCACCGAAAGAAGGTGGAGGCCCGACGTGAGCGTGTGCAGCAGATGTTGCAGGAAACGGAGCAGCAGCTGAAGGAGAGTGTGCTGCGTACCAAGGGCGGTAAGAAGCGCAGGAGAGCAGATGACGTCGCCGCGAAGGATCTTGCGTTCGAGAGAAAACTCAAGCAGATGCAGAAGGAACAGGCAGACAAGGAAACAGCAGAGAAACAGGCTTCGGGCAACGGCAAGCAGAAAAGTAGTGGGGATAGCAACGGCAACAGCAGCAGCAGCAGCAGCAAGAAAAAGGATCGCAAGCGCATCACCTTCTCTGATGGTGCTGCGGAGAGTGCCGAGGATGTCCCGCATGCTGCGATGCGTTATCCCAACGACAAGGGTGAGAAAAAGCCCCGTGAGTTCTACGAGTTGGTCGATGTTGTACGCTACGGCGAGTGCGTCAAGGCGCCGCCCGTCTTTGACACACTGCCGCGCCGCGACGCCGCCATCACACGCCTCGCCAACCAACTGGAGTCGTCGAATCCGAAGAAGGGCGTCGCGTCATCGCGGGCGGAACGGCTGCAGCTATTGTCGTCTGTCGGCGGCGTCGGGGAGCAAAAGCGTCTGGAACGCCTCGGCCTCGCGCCTGTTGGCGGCAGGGGCACTGCTCCTGCTGCTGCGCAGGCATCGCGAGAGGTCTCAAAGGAGGAGGAAATGCGGCGGCTGCGTGAGGGCGTCATGGCCGCGTACCGCCGCAACAAGCACGTGCAAGTGGAGGCGCGAAAGGGTGTCGACATGCGACACCAGTTCCCGCTTTTCTCTTGAGCTGGCGGCTGTAGCTCTTTCCTCCCTGTATGGGTGTGTGGCACGCATACAGCTCCACTGAATCTCTCTTTCTCGCTGTGGGGAATTCATAATAAGAGTCTCGCTTAAGCAAGGAAAGCCATGACAAGAACAAAATGCTTGTGGCCATCGGTTGGGCCTTTCTTGGTGTGTGGTGCGTCACGTCGTGCCATCTGAATATTGTGAGTTGATTCTAGTTGTTCCTTCTCCCTCTATCCTTGATCTAGTACTACTATTATTATTATTATTATTATTATTATTATTATTATTATTATACTCTGGCTCATCCTAACGCAGTAAACGTCGTTCAACAGGAAGGAGGGAAGCCTACTCAAGACATTGGAGAGAGAGAAATAAGTGAATAAACCGTGGAGGGGACACCAAAAGTCACAGCAGTAATAACTGCATTAGCAAGGAGATAAAAACGACGGAAGTAGGCCGTAGTCGGTGCAGAATATGGAGCAGCATTGGCACGAGGTGCTTATTCAGAATGATGAGGGCGACAACGCCTTCGCCAAGGCGGCCCCGCTTATGATGGAGGCGCTGCAGCTCGTTGCCTCCACGCGGGCTCTGCAGCTCGCTTTAGGCGTCGCGTGTTGCAAAGAAGAACTTTCCCGCGTTAACGACACACGTCGCGCCTACCGCGCTGCGCGGGAAGAGGCCCGAGAACTACACAACATGTTGGAACCACACCTGGAGTCCGTCTACAACTCGATGTTGCACCTGCGGTGTGTAGAGGCGGCCTCACGGCACCCCAACCATCGCAGCCAGAAGCATCGGCAACGGCAACGCGTGAGGTCCTTGCTGAAGTGTCACGATGGGCTTGTCGCCCCACGGGACATGCGGGTGGACGCTTTTCTAGACTCACAGCCGGTATTCGACTACAAGACCTTTCGTGCGCGGTTTGGGCGTCTCTGCCAGGTGGTTGCCAATGGGCAGCTTTTCTCCGCATGTGAGCCGCGTATCAAGGTGCTGCAGAGCCGCTACCGCCTCTACCGCGCCTTCAATAGTGGGCGTGAGGATCAGTTTCACCCGACGCTCGGCGGTGGTAGTTTTCGGCTCGCGCCCAAAGTGGACGTGCGGCGCATCAGCAGTTGTATGTCGGCCACCACGCTCGTGGAGTTCATGCAGCGGATGCTGGAGCAGGAGCCGAATCTCGTGCTTCACACACATGGGGTGCCCGGTGCGACAGAGGAAAATGTGACGCAGCTTCGCGCAGAGCAGAGCGAGCCGAAGTGGAGAAATAGAAACGATCACCACAAGCACAGCAGCAAAAACCCAGATCCGAAACTGGTGGATGAGGAGCGCGACCCCACGTTGAAGGAACTCGTTGACGTCTTCTTTGGACCTTTTCTCCCACCGGAGGAGCGCTGCTTCACCCCGGACGGTTTGGGTCTGCTGCCAAACTACACAGGTACCTCCGAGCGCATGTCGGATACATTCGACATCCCTCAAGCAAGACCACCAGTGGCCGCGAATGCCGTGCCGCTGCTTCGGCATTTTCTTGACGTAGACGGCGGGAACGGTGGTGATCTGCTCGCACGGCTTGTGAGGCCGATGCTTTCACGCATCGCCACGAGCGACGCGGATGTGTTGGAGTTGGAGTTCACCGTCACCGGACTTCTTGCTGGAGAGGTGCAGCACATTGCCGCGTGGTGTGTCCGCAGTGGTCTGATCGGGTCACGAAATGCACAGCTGTCGCTACGGATCATGCAAAAACCATTGTGTGGCGGTGATGCTAGTGGTGGGGGGGGCAGCGCCTGCAATGCCAAGACACTGGAGGATGTGCTCATGAACATCTTTGAACCCATCTGGCTTGCCATGCTGCAACCGCAGGAGTACCAGGACGTCGTGAAGTTTCTCGCCCGACTTGTGTCGGTGGGGGTGTCTGTCAGCGGCTACGCCGACGTGCAGGAGATGCCGGCCACCAACAGCCCCAAGATGTACTCGGCGGAGAGTGGCACGGAGCCGCCGGATGCGTTTTTCATTTATCATGTCTGGCGCAACGTTCAGGTACTGAATTGTATGGTGGCGGCGCACGTCTTTTTTTCCACCGCGAAGGGACCTTCAACTGCTGCTGCTGCTGCTGCGCATGCAACGGAGGGAGAGTCTGAGGCATCGAAGTTATTCCTGCCAAAGTGCTCGGTGTTCCTGCGCCATGAGCCTGTGATGAAGCGGCCGCTTCTCTTTCGTCTGCACGCCTCGGCTACGAGCAAAAACGCGTTTGTGGAGAGTGTCATTGGACTGCTTATCGCCGATGTGGTGGTGAACCCTGTTGAGGTCTTCGCCTGGAGTCCGCTGGCGTACCTCTATTACTTGACGCAGCGCAGTGTTCTGGTGACGCCTTCGCGCAACCACAACGTGGCGCGCGACTCTGTCCTGCAGCGAGCCGTGCCGTTCGTTGTGGAGACAGGCCTGAACGCCTCCGTCGCCACGCTGGATCCGCTGCACTACCACACGAACGACAATGCCCTGTTGGAGGAGTTAAGCGGGCTGCAGAAGAATTTCCACCTCGCGCTCGCCGACATGACAGAGTTATGTCTGCATTCTGCGGAGAGCGCAAACTGGGCCGTCGAGAGGAGGGGGGCGCTGCTTGGGGAAGTGTGGGGACGCGTCCGAGCGCTGCACAACGACTTCACCAAGACGCAGGTGAATGCGCTGCGGCTGCGCCTGCGTGAGTCGTCGCTGGCGCACGAGATGGACTTGCTGTGCCGCAAGGGTCTCACGCAAGACTCCGCGTTAGTGGTGGAGAAAGGGGGCCAGCGCGACTACGCGGTGGTGTCACACTTCCCTGCGCCGCGGTGGGACGCGCGGCTGCCCGGCAGGGCGTTGCAGATGCCGCTTAGGGAGCAGCGCGAGGCATTTTGGCGCTTCTTCGGTGTCCCACACGCACGTGCGACAGATCGGGTGGAATGTGTTGTGTTGGGCCACCACTTTGTGGACCGGCAGATTGCGTTCCCGCGCATTGTGATCTCTGGGCCCAGCGCTGGCGAGAAGAGCAGCGCAGCACGGAAGGTGGTGGCGGCGCTTCTCCGACGGCAGTACTACCGTGATTTTAGCGTCCACTGCGAGCCGCCGGTGGCGACGCAACTGCGTCACCCGCAGGAAATAAACGCGCTGCTTGCGTCGCAGCATGCAGCGGATTTTCCAAGTGAATATCAAAAGCAGGAAAAAGACAATCATCATCAACACCAGGGAGCAAATTCCTCGTCTCAAAAGTTTTTCTCCCCCTTGGAACGTGAGCAGCGGGTGAACATACCGAATGCGTTCCGCTGTCAAGGCGGCGTGCGTGACGTTGTCCTCGCCGCCGATGCAAACGATGCGACGAAGGCCTACTTCCGACCCCTGCCGACGTGGAAAGAGTTCCAATCCGACACGCGATGGCTGCGTGCGGTCACGGCGGAGCGCGAGGCGCAGCTCTACACCAAGAAACGGCTTGGCATGCTGGAGTGCAAGTTTAACCTCCACGTTGCTCTCACAAACGACGATCAGGAGCAGTCGGCTCACGAGGTGTCACGGCTGCGCGAGAAGGGCGATCTGTACAAGTCTGTCAAGGTGGATGTGCACTGCCACATGGCGGCCGGCATAACGGCGAAGGACCTCCTGCGCTTCATCAAGAAGAAGGCGCAGACACACGCAAATGATGTGGTGGATGTCGAGCGCGGCACCGGGCGCCTTATCACACTGGGAGAGATGTTTGCAAAGCTGCGCGCGCCGAAGATGCGTGGAGCCCTCGTAAATGTTGAGGAGCTCACCGTCGCCTCGCTGGAGGTGAAGGCTGGAAAGGAAACCTTCAACCGCTTCGACGAGTTCAATGGCCGATACAGTCCGCTGGGCAACTCCGCCCTTCGTACCCTCTTCCTCAAGACAGAGAACTTCATGGGTGGCCGCTACTTCGCCGAGCTGATACGTGAGACATTTAACCGACAGGCAGAGGACGGCTGCACCTTCTCCGAGTATCGCCTGTCCATCTATGGCAGGCACCGCAATGAGTGGGACAAGTTGTCTCGGTGGTTCGTGTTGCATGGTATGTCACATCCGACCAATCGCTGGATGGTGCAGGTGCCGCGGCTCTATTCCATCTACCGCAGCAACGGTATCATCGCCTCCTTCGAGGAGATGCTGACGAACATATTTGTGCCCCTCTGGGAAGCCTCCATATCACCGGAGTCGCATCCGTTTCTCAACTACTTCCTCGCACACCTCAGTGGCTTCGATAGTGTCGACAACGAGAGCGAGCGGGAGCCCGATGCTCTCATTGACGCGCCACCAGAGCGTTGGACGCATGCAGAGAACCCGCCGTTTTCCTACTGGATGTATTACATGTGGGCGAACATCACCACACTCAACCGCTACCGCGCCGCACGTGGGCTGTCGACCTTTTCGTTTCGTCCGCACGCTGGGGAAAGCGGCGATCCGTACCACATGGCCGATGTGTTTCTCGTCGCGGATGGCGTGAATCACGGCATAAACCTGAAGGACTTGCCGGTGATGCAGTATCTGTTCTATCTGGCGCAGATACCACTTGGCATTACGCCACTTTCAAACAATGCACTCTTTTGCAAGTATCATGCCAACCCTTTTCCGACCTTTTTTCGTCGAGGGCTCAACGTTGCGCTGGCGACGGATGGTGCGTTAATATTTCACCACACGGAGCAGCCGCTCATTGAGGAGTACAGCACTGCTGTAAACTTCTGGAACTTGTCCCTTGCGGATGTGTGCGAGATTGCTCGGAACAGCGTGCTGATGTCTGGTTTCCCCTCTCACCAGAAGAAGTCGTGGCTGGGCAACCTCTACGCCCTGCGCAGTGCCGCCGGCAATGACGTGCGCCTCTCCAAGGTGCCACAGACACGGTGTACGTTCCGCTATGAAGTGTACGTGGAGGAGATGAACTACCTGCAGGCGAGAGCCGCAGCGGACGTGCCGGTGAGGCCGGTGCTGGACGCGCAATTGGAGGGGCTATACACGATGGACGCCGTGGGTCTCTCACGCGAGGCAGTTATTGCTTTACAGTTGAAGGGGCAGCCTATTACGACTACCACGGCTATTACTACCAGTGATGCCGCGTCTGGGTGTTCTTCATCCCATTCGGGGGTGTCACGGACCGTTCAATGCGTCACCGCGCATTCGCAGCTTTGAACTGTTGTTGTTTTGTTTTGCTTGCTCGCTGTGTGGTTCATTTATTTTTCTTATTATTATTATTTTATTCGATGCTGCGTGCGTGCGTGCGTGCTGGTGGAGACTTTGGTTTTGGCATATTACATCGATGTTTGGCACGGGCCCGTGTGGGATGTGGTTTGTGTTGCGGAATACGCCCTTCCCATGGACGCAAGCAGGCTTGTGTGTTTGGTGGTGAGTTGGAGCCTTCTTCACGGAGTGCTGGTGGGTGACGATGGTGGTGGTAGTGGTGGTGTTGGTGCCGCTGCTGCGACTGCCGTTGTGGTTCTTTGTTTTCCTCTTGGTGCCTGCTGCTCTCCGTCAAGCAGCTTCTCTCCTTTTCGTGTGCAGGTAAGCGTGCAGCCTTAAGGCAAGTGTGGAACGGAGGACAAGAAGAAGAAGAAGGTTTTTTTTTTTTTAAGCGAACCTGAATTGTGAAAGAAGGCAAAGCGGAATAGCCACGTGGAACGAGCCAACCACAAGAAGAAGAAAACCAATAGCAGCTAACAACCACAGGAGGAACGGGCAAGGCAGAGGCAAGAAGGCCAAAACTTTTTTTTTGTCTGTTGCCCCCCCCACCCCTTCTGAGAAGGACAAGGACGAGAGGAAAGGCAATGCGTCGGACCCCTGCAACGCTGCTACCACGTGTCGGCGGCCTCAGGCACCGTGGGGTGTGGCGCCACGCCGTGCTGGCGTCCCTGTGGAACGTGCCGGCCACCCTTCGCCTCGCCGCACAGCAACAACGTGGCCTCCTTGCCGTGCCTCTCCTCAGCAGCAACAACAGCAGCAGCGGCAGCAGCAGTGGCGATCCCGCACAGCAGGAGGATGCGGGTGTGCTCCGCTTCTTCCGGCGCAGAGGCCGTGCGACGCGGACGTCATGCACCACCCCGTGCGAGACAGATGACATGGACGAGGTGCAGACGGACGTGAACGGCAAGACGGAGCCCTCCGCCAACCGCGCCATGAGTGGGTACCGGGGCTGGTCGGCCAGGACTGGAAGCTGCACCGCGGAGGAGTTTCTGCAGGGCGTGCAGCAGTCGTACTACGGTCTCGGCGTGCTGATCGGGACACTTGCGGAGGCCGCGCGGCCGCAGCTGCCGCTCGGCAAAGGCGTCCCACTCAGTGGTGCACTGGCGCAGCTGAAGACGCTGCTGTCAAAGCACTACTCGGTGAGCCTGCCCACGCAAACCGCAGAGGGGAGTGCGGGGGAAAAAGAGAGCAATAACGTCGCCACCACCACCGCTGTCAGCGAGGCGCTGATGAAGGTGCTGCCCCTCTCCTCCTTCTTAGCGAAGGATCTCTACAATGCATGGAACAAGCAGCGGACGTTTGATGCGAATATTTTTTCTTACGCCGGCCCCACCGATTATGTCCTCTCGACAAAAATGCTGCTTTTCGTTGAGTGCCAGAGCATGAAAAATGTATTCACCGCCGACGATAGTACTTTCCAGCTGATCCATGTGGCACCCTCATCTCCGCTAGAAGATGATGCCAAGAAGAACGTTAGTGGAAGTGAGAGTGGACAGTCGGAGGCCAACGCTGACAGTAGGCTCGCAGCGGAGGCCAAGCCACCAAAGGAGAATGAGGCTACCGCAGCTTCTTCTGCTTCTGCTACCGATACTGCTACCACAGCGGATGCGAATGCGAATAAAGGAAAAGGCACATCTTCGATTGGCAAAACGATCATCGTTTACAATGGGCATATACTGCCGCCAATCCCAGCTGACGCCGTTGCTTGTGTAGTTGCGTCGGTTGACGTCGTTGCCCCACCGCAGCGTTACGCTCCCTCTTTTGATTGGTTTTACCAACGCATCACTGGCTGCGATAACGAATACGAGCGCATCGCGGCTGCACAGATTTTCGGCATGACGAACGTCCGAACGTTCGTGGCACCATTCGACTTCCTCGCACGCATGCTTACCGGACGCCACATAGAGTTAGCGTTCCCCGAAGGCGTGAAGGAGATGCTGCGCATCCCTAAAAATATCGACGAGTGCCCACCAGCGACGCGCAAGGTTATGTGCTTCTACATGGACGCTGACCGGCGGTGGGTGCTCTCTGGTCTGCACACCGTCGACGTTGTCTTGACAACAATGCTGCCGAAGGCCGCCTCAGCGTAGTGGGGCGATGTGGTGACGTGCACAAGAACAAGACAGGGAGGCGGTGTGGAATACGGAATAAACCCTGCTGGGCGGGCTTAAGGCAGCAGAAGTCGATGGGGCATCTCCTGGCCGGTGGAACTGAGGCGGGCTGTATTGCAGGAGGAGGAGGAGGAGGAGAAGGCGGGGGATAATGCAAGAGAAGCGGAGCAGCATTACACACCAAGCAAGTGGTGCTGCAAGGAAAGTGCGAGGTCTGTGTTGCATGCCCTTTTATACATCATATATATATATATATATATA